TAGTCTTCAAAGACAAGCATAAACTCAAAAAAATGTTTGAAAAAAATCCTATAAGTGAATGGGACTCAAAAGAATGTAGGGTATGGTCATACTTATATCAAAATAGATTTCCAGTTAAAATAGGTAATAAGGGACAGGCAATGATCAAGGTAATGAGGTAGGGCATAGTATAAGATATAACACTCTTCATGTATATGCACCAAATGAAGAAGGACTAAAATATGTTAAGCAACTACTATTAACTCTGAAAACAACACTGGGGAAAACATATGTGGTATGAGAATTCAGCATCCCAGTCTCACAAATAGATCAATTGGACAGAAAATAAATAGGTGTACAATTTCCTTAAACAATAAAATAAACCTAATAGACATTTACAGGGCAATGTGTCCCCCAAAAGACAATTTCCTCTTGTTCACATGTATACTCTTCAGAATGGACCACATTCTGGGACACAAAACAAATATCAACAGATTCACAAAGGTTGAAATCATACATCATCTTCAACCATATAAATATGAAGCTAGAAATCAACTCTCACAAGAAAGGAGAGATTTCCTTTAATATGTGGAAATTGAAAAAAAAATACTGTAGGATGACTGGGTTAATGAGGAATAAAAGAAATAAAAAAAAAACACAAGTGAGGACAAACTCAAAGCTATCTAAATTTTATGGGTTGTAGCAAAAGCAGTACTAGGAGGGAAACACATAGTAATACAGGACAATTTCAAGAAACAAGAAAACAAAAAAAGAACTTAAATAAACAATCTCCCTTAACTTGAGAAGTTAGAAAATAAGAAGAATAAACAAATTCATAAGCCGGTAGAAAAACAGATACAATAAAAATCAAAGCAAAAGTAAATGAATAGAAATTTAATGACACTCCAAATGATTAATGACACCAAAAGGTGATTGAATAAACAAACAAAATAGGAAAACCTCTAGCAGGGCTTATCAGGAAAACAAGGATAAGAAATAGAGTTTTCTAATACAAGGATCAAAAGTGAAAGAGGAAAAATTAATAGAAGCTGCAGAAATTAATATGATAAATAGAGACTATGAACACCTATACAGTAACAAATTAAAGAACCTAGAAGAGATGGACAAATTCTTAGACTTCTATACAGCCATAGCACCCTGAATAGGGAAGAAATAGAAACCCTTAAACTAACCAATACAAGCAACAAAATTAAAACAATAATTAAAACTCTACCATAAAATAAAGGTCTAGGATCAAATGTCTTCACAAGTGAATTCTAGCAAACATTCAAAAATGAAGTAATGCCTATCTTGCTCAAAACCTTCCAAAAGATTGAAGCTGAAATAATAGGATCAAATTTATTTTATTTGGCTAACATTATTTTAATACTAAAACTGAACGACAATGTAAAGTAAGAAAATTATAGACCAATCTCCCTAAAATAAAATGCTAGCAAACAGATTTTGATGATGCATTGAAAGCTTCATATATATGACCAAGTGGGATTCATACCAGGGGCAACATGAGGTTCAACACTGAAAAATCAATCAATATAATGATCATATCAACAAAACAATGATATGCTAACATCAGTAGATGCTGAAAAATCAATTGAAGATGTCCAAGTCCTTTTTGTTGAAAACACTTAAAAAAACAAACAGGGAGGGCCCTCCCTGGTGGCGCAGCGGGTTAAAGCACAGCACTGAGAATCTAAAGCCGCTTCCGCATGAGTTCGATTCCCGCCTGGAGGTGACCACATAGAGTGGCAGACCTCTCCTGACCCGCCTGCTGCTCCCTTCATCAGTGTACTTCGTCGATCTGCCTGTTCTGTTCCCCGCTCTGTCTCTGGTGAAGCCTCTCACCGCCCCTGAGCCTCTGGTCTGTACCCCAGTTCTGTATGCACAAATAAATAAATCTTTAAAAAAAAAAAAACAAACAGGGATTAGGAACTAGTTTTTCTACTAAGATTTAGCACAAAAGAAGGAGCTCCACTTTAACCACTACTATTTCACACATAATTGGAAATTCTAACTAGAGTAATTAGACAAGAGAAATATGTGAAAGAAATCCAAATTGGGAAAAAAGTAAAATTATCATTATTTGCTGATGACATATTATATAAAGAGAGCCCTAAAGATTACATAGAAGACTAATTGAAACAAGCAGTTTAGAAAGTTGACAGAGTACAGAATCAACAAACATAAATAAATTGGCTTCCTATATACAATGAGATAAAAGTGCAAAAAATTAAGAAAGTGATGTCATTTACAATTAAATCAATAACAAATAAATAAATACCTTACAGTAAGCCTAACAAAGTAAGTAAAAGAACTCTACATAAAACTGAAGGACAATCTTTGAAGACATACAAGAAACAAAGGAAATGAGAAAAAAAATCTGTTTATGGATTATTGTTAAAGTAACCATCCTATGTAAAGCAATATACAGATTCACTGCAATGCCAGTTAGAATATCAATGTCATTTTCCAAAGAATGGAGACAAACCCTTCTGAAATTCATGGGGAATCACAAAATACCCCAAATATCAAAAGCAATCCTGACAAAAAAGGAAAGATATAGGAGATATAACACTCCCAGACCTCGAATTTTATTATAAATCCATGATAATTAAAACAGTCTGGTGCTGGAATGAATATAGAGGCATGCAGTCCAATGGAATATAATAAATAAAAAAAAGTCTACACATATATGGATAGTGAATTTATGACAAAGGAGCCAAGATTGGAACAAGGATAGTTTCTTCAATAAACTCTCTTAGGAAAAGTTAACATCTGCATTTAAAAGTATTAAACTAGGGCCCTCCCTGGTGGTGCAGAAGGTTAAAGCACTGCACTAGAAGCTAAAGCCACTTCAGCATGAGTTCAATCCCTGCCCTGGAGGTGATCCACATGGTGTGGCAGACCTCTCCTGACCCGCCTGCTGCTCCTCTCAGCAGTGCACTTGGTTGATCTGCCTGTTCTGCTCCCAACTCTGTCTTTGATGAAGTCTCTCACTGCCCTTGCACCTCTGGTTTGTATCCCACACATTTCTGTATGCATAAATAAATAAATCTTAAAAAAAAGTTTTAAGCTAGATTGGTTTCTCACACTACAAACAAAAATCAATTCAAAATGGATATAGACTTAGATGTAAAACTTGAAACCATAAAATGCATAGAAGAAAATAGGCAAAATATTTCATTACACATACTTTAAAGTGGCTTTAGGGATTTTTCTCTAACAGCAAGGTCAAGAAAAAAAGAACATAAACAACTGGAATTACATCAAACTAAAAAGCTTCTATATAGTGAAGGAGATCATAATATAAATGAAGACACCCTATTTGCATGCCATATATCTGACAGAAAACTGATCTCAAAAAAAAAAAAGCTCAAAATTCTACAACTGAACAAATAACACAATCGAATTGGACAGAACGGAACAGACATTTCCATAGAAGACATAGGGACTGAAAAATGGCACATGAAAATATGCTCACGGTTACCTATCACTAGGGAAAAGGAAATCAATTCCACTTGTGAAAATAGCCCATATCAAAAAGCTCAGAAAGAACACTTGTTGGCAAGGATATCACAAAAAGGGAACCCTCCCACACTGCTGGTGAGAATGCAGATTATTCTCACCCTTATGTAGGTAGTATAGAAGTGTGTCAAAACATTAAAAAATGTATGTGGCATACAACCCAGTAATTCCAGTCCTAGGCATCTACTTTCAAATTTAAAAACACTAATTCAAAAGGAAACTTGCATCCCCATTTTTATCAAAGCAATATTTACTATAGCTAAACAATGAAACAACCTAAATACCCAAAACAAATACACCTCCTTATTAATACATACATACATGTTCACACACACATACACCCAATGAAATGCTAGTTCAACTAAAGTGAGTTAGAATGAGAAAGATACATAACTGAAAGGTGTCACTAACTTAGAATAAATAAAAAAAAAAACTAAACTAAGAGTCAGAGAAATACAAATTTCCAAACTAACCTTGAAAGCTGATGACAGAATTGAAACAGAGAGAGACAGAAGGAATGGGGGAGGAGTCGGTCAAAACCAAAGTTAGTTCACTGGACTGTGGTGGTAGACTGTGGGCGGTTATGTGGTGGCTATGCTAGAGTGATTATATCTAATGAGAAAATCCAAATATGACTTCAATTAAAAGTAAATAAGTAAAAATTTTTAAAAAGTTGATAAAAATACAATATTTACAGATTTAAAAAGATAGGCATATCATCAAAGGGAAAGGTATAGAAAATATTTGACAAATTCAAAGTTATTCATGATATCAAACTCATAAAATTATAATATATGAATATTTGTTGAAACTGTAAATGTTAATCTAAAAAAGCCAACACAACTTCAAACTTAATGATAAATCGAATCCTTTCTTCCAAAATCAGAATAAAAATTTATGCTTTACTCTTTTCTGATCACTATTCAAGAATATGGTAAAACTCCTAACCAGAACAAAATGACAATGAATAAATACTACATTCATACATATGAATATATAAATAAAAAGCATACAGATAGCAAAAGAGGATGTAGAACTTTGCTTTGTTCAGATTATTGTAGAAAATTTTATGACTACATAAAGCTACTAGAAGCCAGAAGCTATTCATAAGTTAGACTGTCAAAAGGTAAAGGTTTTGAATATACAGAGATCAACTGTTTTTCTATATATCAGAAACAAAAATAGATTTTCATTAAACATATATGCAGATACATGCAAATGAAAATATTTACTACATTTATATTTCTAAAGTTCTAAAGATCTTCATTAACTGAAAAAAAAACATACATATATCATGCAACAAACCTATATATATATATAGGTTTGTTGCATGATTTCACCCTGTAGGTTTGTGGTACTCTCTGGCATAGTTTATTCTCAATAATTCTTTGTAATCAAACCAAATTTAAAATTTCAACAAACCACCCAGTGTTGAATCATTTTTAGGAAACTCAAACACGGTAAAGATATTTACCAACCTTTTGTAGGAAGCAGTTATTCCAACAACCACAACTGAGAGCTTTATGTATAGTAATGACATCTCGGCCTATGGTGTCATAAATTGTCATGGTAAAAGGCCTTGAAGAACCACAAAGGTGTCTGAGGAAACAGTTGCATTTCTCTTCTGCAAAATAAATTCTCTGTCTTTGATTGTTCATGACTTCATATATCTTATTATGTTCAAAATGACTGAGGTCTAAAGAATGAACAATGTGATGACTTATTAGTAATAGTAACAGAAGACTCATAAAAATTGTATATCAAATTCTGCTCAACTATGGTACTTTGTTGGATAGTAAATTGGTTAGCTTTCTCATTTATATTTACTCTTATCTTAGTTTTTTTTTTTTTTCCCATACAGAAAAATAAAGAGACATGCTAGCTATTTTCTGGTAACTTCTACTGATAAAATTATATTCATAGATTTTTAATATAGTTTCTAATTTTCCAAGAAAGTAGCCACTTACTATTACATTTGAGTTATGTTAAATTTTAATTCCCATTTTATATATTTTTCTTTTTGAAAAAGACCTTATTCATCATCCAATATAAAAATATTACAGTATATAAATCTCAATATAGCAGAAAACCAAAAAAAAAAAAAATAGGTATGCTTAATTCAATGAGATGGGAAGCACTCAGATATCATCCACACAAAATAATAATAAAATTCACCTTTCTAATAAGCAAACAGAAATATTATTTTCATCCTAATAATCCAAGCAAAATAATTTAAACAAATTTCTGTGTATCAAATAGTCATTACCAAAATAGTTAGAAAAAGTAAAATGGAAACAAAATAAATATCCAAGAAACAATAAATTGTAAGGTCGCTAGAGAATTACTGTGCAGTTCTTTTAAAATATTGTATGCTAAGAAAAATAACACCATCAGAAATTTACTTTGTAAATAGATATTTTAAAATGCATGGTGTATGACTAAACGTGATCATTGAAAGTCCATCAAAAATAAATATTTTTAAAAGCTACCAGAGAAAATTTAATCATAGTGGTGAATGGGCAATTTTTTTCTTTTATTTTCTTAATCTCAAATGTTATGGATTGAGAATATGTTTAATTAATAAATGCTACTCTAACGAGCATTTATCATTTGACTTAATGTTAACCATTGAAAACGGGTAGTTACAGAAGTCCCTCACTTTTTATTTTTAATTTTATTTATTTAATCATACAGAGTTGGGGTACAGGACAGAGGTGCAGGGGAGGTGAGAGGCTTCACCTGAGACAGGTGTGGAGCAGGACAGGCAGGTCAACTAAGTACACTGCCGAGGGGAGCAATGGTGGGGGAGAGGGGATCAGGTGAGGTCTGCCACACCATGTGGGTCACCTCTGTGGTGACGATTGAACTCATAGTGAAGTGGTTTTAATTTCTTAGTGCTGTGCTTTAACCTCTGCACCACCAGGGATGGCCCCAGAATTTCCTCACGTTTTAGTGATTTATTGGATATGTGAACATAATTGTTTTTATATTGCTATTTGAAAAATTTTGAAATTTGAATTATTTGTATTTGAAATATTTGAGAAGTATTCATTTGATAGTTAATATTCAAATTGATTAAAAATCTGTGAATATATTTTCTGAATAACTTTATTTTTAAAAATATATGGAACTCTGGGCTCTCCCTGGTGGCACAACGGGTTAAAACACCACATTATGAAGCACTCTGCAGCTGCTGCAGCACGAGTTCAAGCCCTGGCCAGGGAGCTGTCCCAGATGGTGTGACAGACCTCTTCTGATCCACCCACTGCTACCTTAAGCAGTGTACTCTGTCAATCTGCCTGATCTGCTCACCACTCAGTCTCTGGTGAATACTCTCACCCACTATGCCTCTGGCCTGTATCCC